TATATACATTAGTCATGAAAGAATTATGATTTGAATATATGGTGTTTTTTAAAAATTATCTAATTTCTAGTTTTTTTCTGCCATTCCTCTAATTGAAGGATCTCAAACTTGAACCATTGGAAGAAGAAGTTATTGAAGGGAATACTAAATCTGTAAGTACTTTTTCCATGTCAAAGTTTTAGAAATATATTTTTTGAAAACATGATTTAATTTCTTCAAAAATTAGTTACTATCTCCATGAAAAGTTGAAAACATAAGTAGACATATTTCATTTTCAATGGCTAAGTAGTGTTTTCTAAATTGTGATTTGTATAAACCTAATACCTACTTCACAGGGTTTTTGTGAAAGCATCTGGCAAGTAATAGGTGCAAAATGAAGACTTTATGCATGTATAAATCACATTATCAACTAATTGAATGAATATGACTGACAAAGAAGGGAACATTCAAATCGTATCATAAACACATTTTGTAAACCCTGCTATGTGGAAGACTGTATATACCTGAGCTGAAATCTGATTCTATTCATTTTGTATTTACAGCATTTAGCCTAGGGCCAGAAATAATTTTTCAAGGAATAAATTGATGTTGAGAGAAAAGAGAACATTTATATCTCCAGGGAAACGATGTCTATCCAGAGTGGTGGCAATTTACAGACACTGACACTGAAAGAAAATGGAATAGTGATCCTAATAGGTACATGAAGATAAAACAAAAAGAAATTAGTAAAGAAATTAATTGAAAGGCAACACATACCATGCTTTGTAATTTTACTTTATTTTGAGGCAAATACTTACGGCACATTTTATTTTAGGAAATCAGATGCTTACATTTGCATTTAGTGGAAATTTGGCTTTTAACATCTTGAGTCCTACAGAAAAAAATCGCTTTTTTTCTTAATATCTTGAAAGTGTATTACGTACTTTGTAGATGTTGAAGGATCAGTCATATTTACGCGAAACAAAGATAGGAAATACCATTCCTCTCTGAATCATGCACTTACTCCACAGGCAGCGACTGCGTCATAGAAGAAGGTGAGACCCACCTGTGTGCCAGGCTCCTGCCCATCTGTCCAAACTCATAACACAAAGTGAATCTTCAGAGGAAGCCTTGGGGGAATCTCAGAAAAATTAATAATGGCTACAATTATCAGAAGCCTATACTTATGCATACTTTGCCCTGATATAAGCTATATTTTTCACTACATGTTTAGTGCTTTTATCCCTCCAAAGACAGGATTGTGGTCTGTGTTAATTGATCAGGAACCTAGAATTTTAAAGTGGTAGATGTTGGTGGGAGATGAGAGGAGAGGGGTGTTGAGCACACGTACTAGGAACAGCAGGTTTGTGTAGTCCCATAGGCCCGGGAATGGCCAACTGTGTGATCATGTATCTGTTATTGTCCCATAGTTTTGCATGTAGGAGAAACTACACTGCAGTAAAAAAAAAACTGAACATAACTTTTCTAATGTTATGAGAGACATTGTTTATTCTTACATAATTTTCTAATGTAAGACTATTTTCTCTCTCTAGCTATAAGGCAGAAAAATTGTCTAAGGATTCTTTGTGTAAGCTGACAGCTATTCCATTTGCTGCTCCCCAAACAGCCAGTGCCACTGCCGATTTTAAAAGATCCACATACACACCATTACTAACTCAATAGTGCATGGAAGTACTCAAAAAATAAGATTGGGCAAGGTGCTTCAGTTGTCAATCTTGTTTAAAAGCGAGAAAGGATATTCCTTAACTATTTTCAACCATATGTAGAGGTAAAATAATTATGCCTTTGGAAGTAGACATACAGTAATGATTTGAACTGGTTTGTTTTTTTCAAAGATACCAATAAGATATTTGTCATTAAAAATTGTAGTTTTTCATTAGTGGTAGTACATGCATTACTATAATTCCTATAAAACCTCCTATTCAGAATGGCCAAAACCACTTTTCTCCTGTTATTTCACAGCTAGTGCTCATAATTGTATCCTAATATGTGCTCAATGATTTATCCTGGTGCCTGAAACCAGTTTTAGAATTTATCGACTAGAGAGGTAGTTTTCCTTTTCCATAACTGAATGCATGAGAACTTTGAAAAATAAATTCCACATCAGAAAGTGAAGAATAAATTTGTATTACACTTGGTTTTTTAAATACTGATTTTTACCGAGCCTTTGCTAAGTGCCAAGTGTTGTGCCAAACACACACATAAATAGCTCACTAACTCCTCATAATAGCTGAATGAGGTGGTGCTGTCCTTATTCTACAGATGAAGAAATTGAGGCATAAAGAGGTTTAACTACCATAGCTGAACTCCTGCAGTCCGACCCAGACCTATGCTCGTTAATGCATTCTAACATTTCTAGCCCTAGTGTTTAGTGGATATCTGGCCACTAAAGTAGAGCTGCTCTTTGCTAGCGAGGTTGTGGACTAATGCATGATTGTTTCTTGAGATTTTCTACCATGAGAGCAGAGCAGATTATCTGGTGGGCTTGTTTAAGCACACAGCTAAAGTCCTGAACCCTACCAACTGCCATGTC